AGCTTTTGACTTCAACAGTAATTAAAAAATAATAACAAAATATTTTTGATATATTTTCCCAAGAGTACAATATATTTCTCTCCTCCAAATGCTATAGACTCTATGTGAACGCTAATAAGAGAGGGTAAGGACAAGGATTCTTAGTAAATTAGAGATCTGCGTCTTTACGAGGTATGAAGCGATACACGCTGCAACAACGCATTTAAATTACTAAAATTCACTATAAATCTCCATCAGAAACGTGTAACTGTTTGGTGAGCTTATGGTTCGGTGGTGTCGTTGGACCTTACTTTTTCGAAAATACAAGATATGGATTGCGCAATCGAGAGATGTTTAATGATCTTTTATGGCCCAAATTGGATGTATTAATCTAGACAAGGACTTTCAAGTGCCACAAAAGCAACGAAACCATCGATCTTTTAAGGAAAAAGTTTCATTGAATTTCTGTATATTTTCTCTTATTGGAAAACCCAACATTATTGCGCTCCAACTCTGTTAAGTATCTGCGAATAATTCTTGATGAAAAAAAACTTAGCTGAAGTAAAAATGTTGCCAGCAGGGCTTGTAAGGTGATCCGAATTTGGAATACCTGCAGAATTGCGATTACACCAAAATGGAGCCTGCGACCTTACATGCTGCATTGGCTTTACACCCATACTAACAAATACAGCGAAATGGGCGACATTAAAGAAGAAGCGCCATATTAAAACTTTGCAACAAGTACAACGTATCTGCCTACTTGGTATAGTAGGTGCGATGTTAACCCTACTAAGATTTTACTTATTCTTTTCAGCAGGATATGTGAACCTCATTCTATATACTCTCCAGTTAGAGCGGTTAAGGATAACGAATTTAAGCAAGCCCACACAACTCAGTGAGACGAGATAGACGAGTTAGATGAAGAAAGTTCATCAATTCAATCCACCATTTTGAAGAGGTAACTAAATCACAACGTACCTATCTACTTGGTATAGCAGGAACGATGAAGGCTGCCTCTAGACGTCATCCTTAATATTATGCCAATTAAGATACAACCAATGTATTAACCGTTAGTGCTACTAGGCACCCTCAAACTTTATAAAAGTGGATCCAGTGAAGTAAACGGCATCATTCAGAGAATTATATCACAGCGAGCGACTGCAAAACGGAAAATTTCTGCCTGGTTGATGCGAAAATCGATCTCATTGAAAGGAGTCAAGGTATCCATATCAATATTGTTTTGGAGCAGGCACAGGAGCAGAGATCTTCTGCGGCCGCCAACTCAATTGGCAATTAAGGCAATTAAGTGTGTCAACACCAAATCCCTCGGATAGAAAGAGCCCTTACGTTTTCTGATAACTGAGAATATTCGAAAGGTAACTTGGATCTTAAAGGAGAGTTTCTCACAAATATAAAGGCTTGGGCAACCTTTCAGAAATTCCTGTAGGAGCTACATGACGAAGACGACGAAGAGGAAGAGATGATTACCTGTAATGGAGTTCGTCTGCTCTAAGTAACAGTACATTTTGGCATTTTGGTGTCGACTTATGTCAGTTATCAGCTGTTACTTTTAGCTTGCTTTAGAAAAAAAATGCGCGAAATTTTGTTTACATTTGTTTGTTTGGCGTCAATTTTAATATGGAGCCCACAAAGGAACATTTTCGTCATATTTTACTTTATTATTTCTGTAAAGGAAAAAACGCGGAGCAGGTTGCTAAAAAGTTACGAAGCCTGATGAAGCCTTAAAAAGGAAGACAGTGTCAAAATTGGTTTCGCAAATTCCGTTCTGGAGATTTTTCACTTAAAGATGAGCCACGTTCAGGTCGGCCAAATGAAGTTGATGATGACCAAATCAAAGCATTAATCGAATTGGATCGTCATGTAACTGAGCGTGAGATAGGAGAGAAGTTAAATATACCAAAATCAACCGTTCATTATCACATAAAAAGTCTTGGAGTGGTGAAAAAGCTTGATATTTGGGCACCACATGTATTGAAAGAAATTCATTTAACACACCGAATCAACGCTTGTGATATGCACCTTAAACGCAATGAATTCGATCCGTTTTTAAAACGAATCATAACTGGAGATGAAAAATGGATTGTTTACAACAACGTTAGTCGAAAACGATCATGGTCCAAGCATGGTGGACCAGCTCAAACCACTTCAAAGGCTGATATCCACCAAAAGAAGTTTATGCTGTCTGTTTGGTGGGATTGGAAGGGTAGCGTATATTTTGAGCTGCTTCCAAGGAACCAAACGATTAATTCGGATGTTTACTGTCAACAATTGGACAAATTGAATACAGCCATCAAGGAGAAGCGACCAGAATTGGTCAATCGTAAAGGTGTCATATTCCACCAGGACAACGCTAGACCGCACACATCTTTGGTCACTCGCCAAAAACTGAGTGAGCTTGGCTGGGAACTTTTGATGCATCCACCATATAGCCCTGGCCTTGCACCATCAGACTACCATTTATATCGATCTTTGCAGAACTCCTTAAATGGTAAAACTTTCGGCAATGATGAGGCTCTAAAGTCACACTTGGTTCAGTTTTTTGGAGATAAAGGCCAGAAGTTCTATGAGCGTGGAATACTAAATTTGCCAGGAAGATGGCAAAAGGTTATCGAACAAAATGGCAATTATATATTTGATTAAAGTTCATTCTAAGTTTTATTAAAAATGCATTTACTTTCTTTTAAAAAATCCGCAATTACTTTTTGGGCAACCCAATAATTTTATGCAAAAAATTACGTTTACGCTACAAAAAATTCATTTTTATTTTTTTTTTTCTTCGTTCAGAGACAAGTAAAATTCACCTACTTTATGAAAAAAATTTGGATTCTTGATTTCAGAAAAAAATTGAAAAAGTTTTCATGACTACCGCGAAAGCACTTTCTTGTGGACGGTCTACTTCACGCCGCCGCCAACGCCTTAATTTTTCCTATTTTTCATTCATATTTTCATCAATTGTTGTCCACATAGTGAACTTTTATAAGTAAATAAAATAAATTGTATACTTTATTTAGTATCTTTTAAAAAAATTAGAGAAAACAAGCTTTTTTTGTGGCCTTCAAGACCTATGTAACCCTTTAAGTAGGCTTTCCTTGGATGCCGATATTAGGTCTCGGGTCGTGCAAGATTGAGATAGCTAACTTTACATTTGTACACTTTTAGTTTTTAAAGCAATGTGTATTCGGAAAATCTGATATTAGTAAAAGAAGCATTTGAAAAATTTGAAGAATTTAATATTTAAATGATAAATTTTATTTTACAAAGAACCCTGCAACGCTGCGCTTTGGCACAGGCTCAGTTAATGTATGACAAATTAATCGTGGAATATCTTTTTATCATAAATTTATTTACTCAATACATGCGGGAATACAACATTTTTGGTTTTGCTATTGACATTGGTCCACTTCCCGGAGAAAAGTTTAGTTTTCCAACTTATCTAAGCAAAATGCCAACGAATTTCAAGTAAGTGGAAGCATAAATAACATTTTTTGTATAGGTCAGTCCTTGGTCCATTTCCTGGGGAAAAGAAAAATCTTTTCATAAGTCAAAGCAAAAATCCACATATCATATGTACCGAATTTCAAGTAAATCCAGCCATAAATATTTCGAATATCTCAGTCTCTGGTCGACAGCAAAAATCCACTCAAACTGTTTTCAATGTTGACAGCACAATCTCCATCTTAAAAAAGCTTTTATTTGACACAATATGCTTGTATTGCCAACATCGCACATTTATTGAATGCAACAACAAATGTGATACATAAAAATCCAAAACCGAACCGAAATAAAGTCCGAACAAAGCCTAAAAATTTTATTTGAATGAGCGAGCCCATTTTTGAGTTACAAAACCAGAAATATTAAGCGCCAATCCATCAGTGAGTGACAGTCTTGAGTCCCTAACAACCCGTGAAAGCGAAAATTCTAGGCCCAGCTTCAGATTCCGAAAATTTCAGACATTATTTATATAACTAACTGATTTCGAGTGAGGTGAAGCCGTCTTGCTTATAGGGTATGGCCTGACGGTAGCATTGCATTGGTTAGCACTGTGTACTATCCAGTGGAGAGTTCAAAAAATAGGAAATTATTTAAAAAAAAAATTATATATCTATATATAATTGGCGCTTTGTAACCGCTTAAGCGATTTTCGGCCGAGCTCCTCCTCCAATTTGTGGTTTTGTCTATTGATGTTTTTTCCAACAAATGGAGGGATCTACAGTTTATACTAAGCCGCCTCCGAACGGCTGATGGTTTTTTTTACTCGGAGGGATGGACATTCCGCGACCGCAATTAGCAAATTTATTTTAATCTTTTTATTTAAATTAATTTTCTATAACCTTTGGATGTTGGTCGCACGGGGACTTGAACCTGAGCCTTCCGAATGGCAGTACGCAATGTTAACCACTCGGCTAACGCGATCGGTTTAATTGCTGACCTTAAAAAGGCTTCTTATAATGGCGTCATCAGCCATTCGTACGCAGTTCAGAACAAACTGAAAATTCATCTCGCCTCAATGTTTGCATAAAGTTCATTATGTACATACCAGAAAGAGAAGCTCGGGCGGTTATAGAGGTCATGTTTTTCCTTGTGTAGCAAAAAAAATGAATATAACCTGCGTTTACAACACTCTCGGGTATAAAACTGACAGTAAGAGTTTAAGATATTTTACGAATGAGACACAGAAATAGATATCGTACGGAAAAAAAGGCATAATCAACGAAGTGCTAATATTGAAATAATTTATGCCTAACTCATTTGATATTCCCCCTCCGAATGCTGATTCAATTCACACAAAATTTTGTGAGGTGGGCGACACTACTAATTGGCCAGATCAACATCGAGTCGTGGACATAATCAATTGTCACACAAAGTCACTAGCAATATCACTTCATACAAATAATTTCAGATCAATTGCAACAGACTTTGAATAGACTGTGTTGAATTCTGAGATGGAAATTCGATCGAACTGGAATTTGTACGAAGAAACTGTCAGTCGCGCATTTCAACTTGCGGAAGTAACACAAACGGTGTGGAAATCGGAAAGTAATACGGCAGAGCGCTATACATGAAATGCCTTCAATTGAATTGCAGGAGAGAGTGGAAAACACAAATAAAGAGAAAAATACAACAGAGAGACCAATATTCTTCACACCACACGACTTTATGAGCGACGCCAAAGTAAGCGCTTACTACCAACACAATGCCACACAGCCTCGAGTAAGCTTTAAAGTGCGGCGCGATAAATCTACTAGAACTTCACCACCATCACCACCAAATGACATCGTACAACAGGTGTGCGGCAACTTTGGCCATTGGCAGCTGCGCACCATACTACTGATCTTCCTTTGCAAAATACCCTGCGCCTGGTTTATGGCTTGCATCATTTACACCGCGCCCACACCACAAAAGGGTGACTACTACTGTCGCCCACCGTCGGCACCTTTGAATGCAAGCGGCGCCCAAGAAATCACAACGTATATGCCCGCCTGGGTGCGCATGTCACAACCGGTGTCAGATGAACGCGGCACAGATCGTCGCTTCTACGTGGACGCTTGCAATATATACGAGGAGCAGTTGCAGCGTGATTTCGCTGCCAGCCATGCTAACTATTCAAATCCTTTCGAGGAACCCAATGTGGAGCAATTGGCCAACGGTTCGTTGGTGTTGAGGGTGAATGTGTTGCCATGTGAGCATTTCAAACATAATTCCGAATACATTTCATTGGTTTCGCAGTTCGATTTGGTCTGTTCACGTCAGCTGTTGATATCGATGACGCAGTCATTTCATGGTCTCGGCGCTTTCATTGGTAATCTGCTCGCTCAGCATGCGCTCAAACAGTTGAGTACTATGATAAGTATAATTATTTTTAGAAAATTTCAACTTTTCCATTTAATTAGCACTAAAAGTTTTGTGTGCAAATTTCCTCGCTCTAAATTACTATATATGTATGTATGTGTGGTATATGTATTGTACATATATATAAATAGCAAGCGCGCATGTAATTGACGCCAAGGCAAGTGATGGCAGAGCGTGTCATTGCCACAGTACAGCAACTCTCTTCCGTTGCCTCCTCGTCCTTCCGCATTCACATTCAATTATTAACACTTTTTCGATTGTTGATCTCTTTGGTAATTTATAAGACAAATATTTAATACTGGGGGCATGTGTAGTGTGTGCATTGTGTGAGTAATTTGTACTTATTTGAAAGAAAGTAGGGAAACTGTTAGCTCTGAAAAACAGACGATTTTTGTAATTCGGTTTTTTCTCTAGAATGATTTTTTTTTTTTTTTAATAATTCGCATGAGCGCTGTTCTGAAGTCGGATTTCCGAATCCGAATTAAAATCTGAAATCATGTCGGATTTAATTTATGGGAATCTACGTTCGAGCCCGATTATTCAACAGATTTAGTGTTCTTGATTTCAACTTTTCGAGAGAAATCTAGTTAGTGGATTGAGTTCGGTTTTTACGTTTTTAGGTCTAATCCATTGCAATAGGTGGCTTTAGTTATCAATGTCTCGCGTTGCCATGCACAATTTTGCTTTCTTCGATTTAATTCTCCACGCTGTGGACGACAGATTATCGAAAATATCGATAAAATAAAGGCAATACTCGAGTCGTGCTAAGCATTCAACAAAAATCAGTTTGGAATCACTTGCAAAAGGTTGGAGACACAAAGATGCACGATGCCACTTGAGTTAATGAGAAAGAACCGCACTTTCCAACTGCGAATCGCTGTTACATCGTAAACAAAATCGATTCATTCCTAAAGTGAATGGTGGTTGTTGATGAAAAGTGGAACACTTACAGCAACGTCAAGCGAAAACTATCATGGTCGAAGGGTAGCAAGCCAGCACCAAAGGTCTTCAAGCCAGTATTGACGTCCAGGAAGTGTTTGTTGGGTGTTTGGTGGAACTGACTTAGAATCAATCACTATGAGCCGCTCCCCACACTCCCCAAACTCCTAATTTTAACGTGCAATTTCAGAAATTAGACCGTCTAAAAGAAGGAATCCACCAGATGCGCCCAGTTTGGTCAACAGCAGGGGAATTGTATTCCATCGAGACAACGCCAGACCACACACATCAATGTGTGAGAGCCAAGAGCTCCGGGAGTTTGTTTGGGAGGTTTTTATGTATCCATTTAATAGACCGAACCACGCACCGGGGGAAATCGATTATATCAATCTTTTGTTAATAGAGACCAGGGTTTCTATGAGACTGTATTTTGGTGTAAGTTTTGAGAAAGTGCTAAACTATGTTCTAGCGTTGTGTAGATAACAATTTTTCTTACAACGCGTTTCCTCGTGTTATCGGTTCATCTTCTTTTTCTTCATTGACAAGTGTATACAAGTCACTCTCTATCTGATTCTTGGCGGGCCATCCCTTCCTCTAGCCGGTACTGCATCGAATACTTCCAAAGTTGGGGTGCTTCCGTCTATTCAGACGGCATGACCTAGGACATGTTTCTTTATTCGCTGAACTACTAGATATGTTAATGTCGCTGTTCGGATCGTCTACTGCATTTGTCGTTGCTAAGAACCATAAATCTCACGAAGCACATTTCGCTGGTTGTTTCACTGCATGTTCTTAATTGCTCTCCCGCTTTTTTGCACTAAAAAACTCCAGCCACATCTTTCGTGCATCGTAATGTAGTCAGTTACTTAATAGAATGATTGATTTTCCCGGTTCCGACGGCCATGATTTAATTTTATTACGTGACGTTCATTCATTGGAGTTAGTTTTTTTTTGTGTTTTTGTTGCAATCCCCACTCGTAGTTAGCAAGCAGTTCGGCAGCCTCTAAGCCAAAAAGCTGCACCCATTTGTGTGTGCTTCCGCGTTTATAGTGCTTACCTGATGGATCGAACAGCAAATGACACAAACCAACCAATAGTTAACACACTGGCGCTTTGCCTCCCACGTCATTGGCGGCGGCCATACCATTTGCATTGGTTGGAGATGATTTCGCCTTTCTAGAAACCGGCATTAACCGCCGTAATGATGTCAGCTTTATAATCTTTACAATATACAAGCTACCAAGAGTTTTCTCTTGACGAACAAGTCACGCTAAAATACCATCCTACGTTGTATACGATAGGTCTGGGTGGAAGCAAGCGACTGCCGTACCTCTTTGTCTAAGAAGATTCATATCAAGTAAAGTCTACCCAAAAAGCCCTCCAATACTTGCTTATTTGTTGAGCTCTTTAGGTAGGAGCAAAAGAGTTAAATCGTTCCTTGTAGTTCGGAGGCGGCTTGGAATGCAATTTATCCTCCTGCCAATTGTTGGAAAGAGATCAAGACATATATCGCAAATTGTAGGTGGATCTCAGCCGAAAACCGCTTCAGCGGTCACAAGGCGCCAAATATATATATTGCATAACTTTAGGCACTGGCTAATTACTTACTGCAATTCTCAAATGCTCAGTGAAGTGATGCGGCTAATATGATTATTGGTTTCAATCGAAATTATCATCTTATGGTTCAAATCAGGTATCTGACTCACACTATCCATGCTTCATTTAGCGATATGCGGTTGGTGTCTGCGCAGCATCAGCTGTCTCTTATGACGTTGGATATAGACCATTTTGTTTGTAATGAGTCTACTGCTCATTTCGAATATATTCGGTATTCTACTCATTAGAAAATCAAAATTCAAAATTCATAATTGCTTCATATTTTACTTTTATTTTTACCTTCACTTTTATTTTTATTATTTGCAGTGTGAATCCTCGTCGCTTAATGCTCACCGGCATGTTCTTTCAAATCTTTTGCGGCTGCATTACGGGTTTGGTAACAAATTTCCAACTACACATTTATTTCCGGTGTCTGACCTCAATCGCATGCACCGTTATAATGTCAGCTGGCCAGGTTATATGTAGGTTGACCTTTCCATTGCCTGATTCTACGTTATTCTTATTGCATCTGAAGGCTTTTGTTTGTATTTTCAGTAATGGATATCACAGCGGGGCGTACAAAAACGATTGTGACTACACTCTCTGAGTTATTCTGGGGCATTGGCCTTATACTCCTGCCGGGAATCTCAATATTTTTTGATAGCTGGAGCTATTTATATTTAGCTATATCAGCATCGGTTATCATATTGATATTTGTACACAAGTGAGTATAATTCTAATTCAGTAGTCCAGAAAGTTATTACTGTGGGGTGTATTATAATAAACTTCTTGGGGATCCAGTGGTATTCCAGTGGAATTATACATTATTAATTTGAGATGACACAAGCAGCTTCCACAGAGCTGTCATTAAAATTTTCTGTGAAAGGCGAGAATTCCTTCCAGACTCCGGTTTGTCTGGACACAGTTCCATCAGTGAGGTGATCATCCGGTGATTTCGCAAAAAGAAACAATCGAAAAAAAAAAACAGGGTCAAGAAGCGGTCACATAAGGGCCCCCAATAGGAGTGTCGCTTCAACTGGCGAACTCACAAAACCCCACTATGTTCAAGCTTTATAAATCGCGCTCCAGTCTCAAGAGCCTAGTGCAGACAGGGTTTTATAATGCCTACACCAAAATGAGTATCTGAGATTCCGGAAGGATGTTTTAGCTGTATAATGTCTAAGCTGAGTTCGAGTCGCTAAGTGCTTAGGAAGGAAAATGTAGTATGAGATTATGCGCGAGACGCGGGTCGACTGCTGCAGCGAGGTTCTACACCCCTATCAACGTCGCCGTTTATGTCATTCGACGGTAACTTGCCCTTGAAGACTACTAATATCGACTCATCTGATACTGCAATTAGCCTTTGTTTAGTAAACTGAATTTGAACAGGTAAGGTAAGGGATTTGTAGAATTTCAGTATTTTTTTGATAGAAAGAGGAATTTACTGCTTAATTGCCTCTCCGGGCAAGAGTGATTCTGCTTAGGGCTGACATTATTATTAGTTTTGATACTAAACTTCCGAGATTGACTGCAAAACTTATTACCGTCCACAGTGATGCGGGAGATGAGTCCCTAGTACTTGGCTTATTACTTAAATGGGTAAACTCAGTGTAGTTCCATGGCGCAGCTTCCGTTTTATCTATTGGAGATTATCTGATTGTTATCCATCCTCATCTGTGTTTTTTATTTATCTTCACTTATTGCTCAATAATTTCCCACCTTCTCCCTTCAGATGGATCGCCGATTCGCCGCGTTGGCTGCTGCGTCGTAATAAACTAGATCGTGCACTGGAGCAACTACTGCATTCAGCCGCGCTTAACCATCAATCTATACCCTTAGATCTGGAGCAAAAATTGGCAGCTTTCGCGAAGCAATTACAGCAAGACACTACGAAGGCGACAAGGTATTGGTCCATTTGGGATAAGACCACCGATCGGAAGTACATCTTTTGCATACACGGTGTCTGGGTGGGCACCATAATTCTACACAATGTGACGCTGTTGATGATACGAACAATGGGTATGGAGTACATACACGTAAATACAGTTTGTATGGGTGAGTTAGAGATTTTGGGTCAGTTAAAAAATTAATTATTGTTATTGTTATTATTATTTTTTATTTATTTTTTGATATTGAAACAGGTCTCTCTGAGGTGCTTGGCATCTTTATGGGACTCTACTTTATACTCTACACCAGACGTCGTTGGCTTTGGAGCGGCCAGCTATTGATTGCGGCAGGCGCTGTTACCTATCTCATTTGGATGGTGCCAAATACGCGTGAGTTCATTATTGAAATACATACATACATACATACGTTATGCTATTTTCCTTCTTACTTCCATTGATTAGTAAAATTAAGTCGACGAGTCGGTTTCGAAATGATCTTTTGGATGTTTTTAAAGTTCGCAACAGCGATCGCCTTTGCCGTGCTCGCCACATGCACTGGCGAAGTGGTGACACCAGAAAAACGACCCACCCTAATGTTCTCGGTGGTGACTCATAGTCGCTTTTGGCTAATTTTCGGTCCAACAATATCGGTCACAATTCAAATACACTACCTAATACCCATCACTGTGTTGGCATCTCTGGCCGTAGTCACGGGCATATTGCTTTGCTTTCTAAATCGTGCTTTCTGGAATACGGATCAACCGCGCAGAGCCAAAGCGCCCACACCAAATACTTATCGGCGTAACTCGTCGGCTGAACTGCTACGACGCGCTTCGGCTGGTACAAAAATGGAATTCTATGAAAATCCTTTGACGATAAGCATATCTGATTTGTGGTTGGTGAATGCACAAATCGAGACCATAACAGAGCAGGACGTGCTTACGGCTGAGGATGGTGAGAAGGAGGCGAAAGCGAATGAGGCGCCGAAATGATGTTGAGCATTTGCAAGGAATGTGCTGACTATGTACAATAGATATATATTTAAGTGAATAAGGGGATATTTGTGTCATCAGGAAACAGTTTTTTTATTGAGTTACAGACATTGGACACATACATACATACGCTTCTGTGATGCTGTTGTTGTGAAATTTCAATATAGAACTATTTTTGTATGTTCGATTTTTATTGAGCCGCCGTCTTCTTTATCTAAGAAAAATTGAAAGTATATTTATAGAAGATATCCTATTTGATACACGAAACCCAGTATTCTAAGAATTATGATGTACAGACCTTGTTCAATATCTGTAGCCGATCCAGTCTCTTCAAATTTCTGTAAAATTTTACCAATTGCTTGCACTTTTGGACGTTTATATGCACCACAGTCTTCTCTTAAGGCGCGAAACTAGGCCACGCTTGAATAGCCATATTTTGTGAGCCAAAAGTCAAAATACAGCACGGTACTTTTGAAATCACGAAATGGGTAACCCTAAAACATTTAAGATCCGCAACCATTCAATGGCGACCTCCATATTTATGTAGGCAAACATGAGAGACACATTTAGCAATAACAATTAATTTTCTCATCTCGGCAAACGAAATCAACACACCGTTAAATAACAGCCAGCATAAAATTAATTTTGTTAACAGAGGCAGACAAGTGATCTTCTGCTAAAAATAGGAAAATCGTATGCAATTAATTTTTCTATGTTAATGTATTTCTTTGCTTTGGACTTTTAACCAAACAAAGTAGTAGCAACATTGCTAAAAATAAGTGTAAATGACCCCTTTAAATTAATTTTCTACAAGAAACTAATAATATTATCAACTTAAGCTTATTTTAAAAAAGCAAAAAATAAAATTTAAAAAATAATGAAAATAAATAATATTAACATTTGTTAACACCATTTACATCGTATTTATTCCTTCTAGTTCATATTTCGTATCAAATATAAATACATAACAGGCGCAAATGTTAACTCACATCAGATGGCTTAGCACGTACAAGATCCAATGGGGAAAAATCCGGAAGGGCCAGAAAGGCAATTCCCAATTAACAAGATGGAAATGCTCAACTTGTACAAAGTTCGTATATTAATTAATAAATGACAATGTTATTCATCCAAATTAGGTCGGATTTAAAAAAAAAAAGATTAAAAATATATTGAGAAAAAAATCTAATGTGGTGGATCTCAACTTGACTAGCTCTCCATTGGAGGTTGTACGTGCTAATCCATCTGATGTGACTTAACATTTGGGCCTTCTCTTTATGTTAACATTCTCTGTTATCTCACACTCACAGATGGCGCAAAGCGACGCAAAGAAATAAATGCTGTATTCCTACAGATGGCGCGCAAAACATTTAGCTATGATGAGAAGTTATCAATAAAAGAATAAAGTATTGAAGAAGGTACGTATGTATATATTATATAACCGAATTTAAAACCTTTTAAACCCTTTTAAAGTTCTTTTGTGGCGTTAGAATACTAAATTTTTTTTTGCTTTTAAATTATAGCGAATACACGGCATAACGGCAATGCCACTTTCGAAGCATACGTGTACATAATAAATTGGAGTTTAAACCAGTTTTTCGAATATATTCGAATATACGAGTAGACTGCGAAAAGGCTATAGGCAAAAGATGGATCCACGTATCAGTCGTAAGACCAAGTCTCCTTCACGCAGTGATTCTCACTGAGTTTTTATAGCATAGCAGTCGGCTGGGATAATCCTAGTTTGTTTAAAAGATTCAAATCAGTGGATTACTCAGCTATCGCCGATATTATATAAATACGATGTCATACCAATCTATACAGATCGATACAAAGCTTGAGGGGAGAGTCGGCGCAGGCGCATTCTCATGAAACCCTCCTTTGGAACCATCTTTCAGGCCAACTGATCATTGTAGTGTTTTACAGGTGGAGATATTTGCTATCATGGAGACAGCAAAGCAAGTCTAAGCCAGTTTTAAATAGATACAGAGATATCTTCATTTTGGGCTCACTTGTACTGAATTTATGACGGACTGTCCCAAATCTGTACAGGTGATAGCTAATGTAAGAGACTGTGTCTCTCGTGGGTCACTGGTCACAGGCATATCGAGGGGGACTGTAAGGCTAATGAACTTGCTTATCTATACAGATTAATATGTCTTTTGGCGCTTGAAAACTGTTTCTCAAGGAATATCCGTATGAGCAAGCCACGTCAAGGTGTTATTAAACTACAAGCTGTCGCAAATTCAGGCACTCATAATGGACCAAAAGGAGGAAAGAATAGATGACGTGATATGCACTCCTTGAAAAGAGACCAATGACCAATGTTATAGCAGTTTTAACTACTGGCCACTGTCTGATACGATAAGATGCAGGGAAAGCTGCAAGAATGTTGAGCAGGAGGAAATGTCACCCATCTATTATGAGACTGTCCTGTGCTGAGTAGTGATAGATTTCGAAACTTTTTAAATAAATTACAAAATTCTAGGCTTTACTTTTATTGGATCATATTAAAGTAAATTATTTTAATTTAGGCAATAATCTCAGTGGAACTAAATATTTCAACTCATTTAAGGGCAGGTTCCTCTAAAAAATTTCAAAATACGATTTGTTTGCCTGTAAATTGCTAAAAAAATATTATTAGAAATTTTATAGACTTAGACCCGAAGGTATGCAAGATCAAGAAGTAAGTATGGAAGAGGGCAGAGCGGAGCGCCGCAAGCGGTAAATCCTCACGCACAAAAACTTTTATCGATTTTTTCTCGAAACTACATTTTTTCAACTGAGTGACGCTCTTATTTAGAACCTATTGAACTTATCGACATGACCTAAATGTCTCTCTATGGCCGGAACCAAGTACAAAATATGAATTGTTATTTAAGAAATTTTTACACTATTTAAATTTAAAAAAACGTTAAAAATTTGAAAATTAATTTTTTTTTGAAAAATATTTCATTGCAGTTCCGGCCATAGCCAATGATGCAGAATAAGAAACCGTTTTGATTTTTGGTTTCAGATGATTCGTTTTAGATTTATAGTGTCACTCCAACTAAAGGGACCTGTTTCAACAGTAATTTTAAGAGACGCCATTAAAAAATGTCTATGTCTACTTATCTACATAAAGTTTAATTTTTAAATAATTTTTCTTTAAATAAATAAAATTTGTTTGAAAAACACGTAACAACATAAAAGTGTGAAGGAAATCAGATTTAGTCGAGGATCCCATAGCCCGTTAACAGACGCCATTGACGATTACGTTCGCACTAGCATCATTTTTTAAAGAAATATTTTCCGGTGATTCCACCACAACATGGATTAAATGGCAGCTTTGGAATCTCTTCAGGTTGCTCTTCGTCCCAAATGCGGCAATTTTACTTGTTTACATACCAATTCAACCAGGAATGGGCTTCATCGCCAAACAAAATTTGGCTCGAAAACGTCGGATCATCTTGGTGCTTTTCAAGAGCCCATAGAGCGAAGCGATGTCAGTTTTTGCACAAGCTTTATTTTCTACGCTTTCAATTTAACATCTATACATCAGTCCAAGTTGCTGCGAACGGCACCGAAACGACTTTCTACGGTCTTCGTGTACACTCTCTACTACGGCTGCTGGATTTTCTTCACTGCGTGCTGGACCGATCTACTGAAAATATTACGTGATACTTTAGTACATAATTTAATTTATTTTTCGACATTTTCGCCATTGCTCTATGTGCGGGTGGTGAAGAGGGTGTTTCAATTTTGTTATGCCTTTCCCGAAGTACAGATGTATGACCGTTTTTAAGTTCGCGGCACCACTTTTACACAGTCGTCCGATTCATAGCTTTATCACCATTATCATGCATTTTTGACCACACTGTAAATCTCAAACGAAGATTTTGCCGTTCAGCCTCAGCCTCAGTACACTTACTTTCTGGATATGGATCTCGTATTACATTTTGAAATTGAACTTATTTATCAACGGTAATGCTTGTCGGTTTGTAACTCGCTCCACTGAAGTATCTTTCCAACTTCGATCTTTTTTCTATGATCACAGATGGTAGTCCAGAGTTTGGGGTGGAAAGGAGTTTTATTTGAAAATACTGAATTCAGATTATTATAATAGAAATTATTATTATATATGCATATACATACATATGGAAGCATGTGGGGAGGTGACAACGCAGCGACTAAATAAAGTAAAATGCAATTAGAGCCTTCACTTAGCATTGATCTCAATTCCGATGATATCCCCATTGCAACACACTTTAAGAATGAGCTAAATGAGCAAGCGAGTATATGACATATGAGCATGAATGTACCTACATATTTATTGTATATGTACATAAGAGTATGTATGCACATATGCCCTAAAAAGTACATACATCAATTTGCACGCGGAATTCTTCCTACTTTTACAGAATTACTTATTTAAATTAAAATATTGTACATATACAATATATATGTGCGTATAAATAAGTATGCAGAAGCAAATTTGGATTTTTTTTTTCGAATTTATGCATTCCATACGCATGTATGTGTGTGTGCACCCGCATGAGAAGTCAATTCAAGTCAAGTGAAAGAGTAAACTATTTTTTTTTTTGTTTGTTTATAATTACAACTACTTAAATGCAGTTCAGACAAGGCCCAGACGGCGAATACATATATACATACGTACAGACATACATACACACGTACATATGTACACATACTTAAGAGGTGATATGCATACATACATACATACTCGTACATAACATAAGTGGCAATAAATATTGCATAACATTTAATTATCAATTGATACGATTGCTTGGAGGCGTCAATTGAGTGTTGGCAATTTTAATCAAAATGATTGAATGTCATTTAATTGTTATTATAATATTTATTTATCAATCACAAAAGTAATTAATACTCTCTTGCTTGATTGACAGTGACCTCAAAGCTGATGGCGTATTTTTTATGGTAAATTTGAATTTGATTTTGATCGATTTTACGATGCCTCTTCATAAAAAAGACCTGAAAGATTGCAGCCGATGCACTAACAATTGCTCACAAACAGGCATTTTGAATTTGAAAACTATAAATAAAATCTTAATTATTTTTGGGTTAATAAGAAGTAATCCGTTATGGCTTTAGGGATATACTCGTATATCTAGCGTTGGGAAGATGACATTTTGTACTCAAAAAAGTTGACGTGGGAAGTGCTGATCAAATGACTCAGTAA